TGATTTTGCTGAAACTAGAGACTTTTAATATAAAGAGACTGTAAAAGAGTGTCTCTAACTAGAGTCTCCGTTCCTCGTGTCCGGTGTCGCAACTCTGATTAGAGGGTCTCTAGTTGCTTTAAGGCCCAGCTACATCTATCGTAATGTTTATCGTAAGCTTCTTACGATCCTTGCGATAGCCAATCAAAAGCGTTACAATACACATTGATATTTCTAATTGGCTATCGTAAGAATCGTAAGGAGCTTACGATAAACATTACGATAGATGTAGCTGGGGCTTTATACGTATTGCGCTCATGTGACTATCGTAAAAAGCTGGTACGACCAGTGCGAGCATCTCATTCTCTTTTTTCATAGAGATTCCTTGTGCTATGATTACACGATTTCATGCATAAACCGATCGAACGATGGCGCTATTAGCGCACTGAAATATGCCACACGATAGTAGTATATTATAGGCTGTCCAAAACCGTAACAGATTTCTCTCCGTGTAGACATGTATACTATTTTATATTCTATTTTGTTATTTAAAACAAGTAAATCTTTTCGTGATAGCATCATTTGTAAAATTTTATAAGTTTCTAAACGTTTCTATAATAAATTTACACAATAAAAGTATCATTATAACATAGTGATTAAACAACATCCGTAGACACATTTAATTTTATCTGCGCATAACGTTGATTCTTTCCATCAAATTTAATGCTATTTACTATCTACTAAAAAAGCCATAAGGCAATTCTTATGATATTGATTTTGAATGAATTTTTAAAGATACATACATTAATTAACCTCGCACATTTAATTATTTAATGACATCAATAAAATGTCTAGCGCTGTTCTTAGTAAATTAAATTCAATTGGCACTTGAAAGAGATAAAACAAAAGCTAAAAAATTTTGTAATATGTACAATTTAATGAAAAATACTGTAATTACTTAAATATAAAAAGTGATCCGGAACTAGTGCCTGATCCACATCTAGTGCTTTTATCCTAAGTCGTCAACTTACAGCTTTGATGTTAAAACAGAATGAATTGTAACTTATTATGCAAACAATAAAGAAAGACGTAGAAGACAGGACCTTGCTGATGAGATTTGAAGTACATTTTGATGTCATTAGTGTTGTCAACTACCAGTAGTAATTTTATTTTTATAATTACATGCTTATAAACAATTATAAATTTATATAACACTTATTTTACATAATAATAAGATATACTACTTAATAATAAAGATTTGCAAAATGATAACTTATAACACAGTATTGCTATTATACTCTAGTCTTACCTGAAATATAATACCCGCTGTTAGAATAGTAGAAAAGAGGATAAACTGAAATCGGGTGAATTTAGATTGTTGATAGGGCCACAGGCCGATAACGAGCAACAGAATTCTATTGAAGCTGAAATACTGAATCCCTAGATGAATCATTCTCTGCGATGTCCAGGATGCGACTGGTTGAAGCAGTCGACGAGTATGATTATCCCTTCTTCTTCTCCATTGATTACCTAGAGGTTCTCTATTATAGTGTAAATTTTTAGTGTAAATGCCATAATTTGTATAATACTAGGCTATACAAAGTATCCATTGTGAGATCACAAACCTATTCATATTTTAGTAGTGTTTTTTGCAATGAATACTATTAAGGCATTACTCTGACATCAAGAAAATTATGAAGAAATATCTTCTCTCAATAAAAAAAAAAAGATATTTATCAAAGAACAAAAGTCACGCAAGCGCATATCTTTTTTTTGGTGCATTAACTTTATTTTCATATGAACTCTTACATGATACGACATTTGGTCTTTGAGATGAATGTCCTCCATATTTTTTCTTCGATATTGATCGTAATTAATATATCTCATATCAATCTGAAATATGGTAATTAAATCAACATAACATTTTCCAATGTAATGCTTATATTTTGCAAAATATTGCTATAATATTATTAACGTTATATATTAAATATTGTTATAATAGATTTTACAATAAATTAATTGAATCTGTTGTTTATATTTTCACAATATGTACAGATTTTACTTACAATAGGTTTACAGTTTTAGTTTCGGTACAATAATTATAATTATAATTATAATTATAATATAATTAACTTCACGAATGTAAAGTTAATTATAATCTCAGTTTAACTTATATATACTGTTTATCTTTTTGTAATACTTCAAATTAGAAATAGATAAAGACTAAATTGGACTGAGATTTAATCTTACGTTGCTGAATACTTTTGATTCCGCATTTTTAATAATAAAATAATTTAACCAAAAATATATACGTAATAAAAAAATATAATTTTCTTTTTTTTTTAAATGTGAGAAATGTTGTTTTATTTTTATCCAAAATATATTTTCTCATGCTCATATTCGATTCGTATTTGTCTTCTCACTGTGTAGATAATATGATAGTAAAATAAGTTACTGCAGCTTTTAACAACTGCAACCATATTATTGCTTACTTTTAATATATTATAGTATATTCAAGCAAATACTACATGATCCTACCTATACCGTGACAAAGCACTCTAATGATAGAATATATAGCCACCGACATTCAGATCAAAATTTTTAGCGCCTTTTATCAATAGGAAGAGTATCATTTTCTGGATCAGGACTTTCATACCATTCAACTCTGTACCTACATAAATTATTGTTTTATTATTAAAAATCGATAATTTGAGAGAACAATAAGAAAATTTACAAATAATTTTCAATATTTTACGTAAATCATACAATACTAATGACATTAAATATTTATTTTAGTTTAAAAAATTTGCAAAGTAAACCTTCTTTTTATCGTCGTCCGTGAGAGAGTAGAAAATACGTCTTTGTTGTGATCTGTCATATTTTGTCCAAGAAAATTCGATATGAACAGATATAGACTGAAAACAGTTGCAAATAACACACAGGCAATTAAACTTCTTCAGTAACTTTCTCTGTCAACATAAAAAATCTGAAAAGTTTGAAATACCTTACGACTGTAGTTAATTAATTGTTATACTTTAATTGTTAACTTCAATTTTTTCGATTAAATATTTCATAAAATTATTTTTTTACATAAATTTTAACGCAAATTTTTTAATTAACTATAATCCCAGATGTGGAGTCCACTATAAGATCAGAATTGGATTCAGAAAATTTCTGAATCATCTACGTACTATTATTATTTATAACATTATTTATGCGAGATCGATTTGTCGCATAACATAATACTGCGGATGAGTCTGCCTCATGAAATTAAGCTATTGAAAAGCTTCAGAAAAGTTAAGCACATTCTCTCTTTTTTTCAGTTTTGTAACTTCATTCTACGCACACTCATAAATCACATTTGATCTTCGAGAGGAATACCTCTTAATTTTAACTTTTTGATATCAGATCTGCCTGGTAAAGTTTATAATTTAAGAATAATTGCATCAAATTGATGACATACTGTTAATCAATTAGCGATCAGAGTGATATTTTTAACAATTTGGTGTATTAACTATCTAGTAAGAAATATTGTTTATTAGTGACTATACGCTTATCTTTTTACATTTTTTATGTTATTGATTAACGAAAATTTCAAATATCTAAATATTTTAATTATTATATTATTTAGGAGAAAAAATGTTCAACGTGTCGACAGCAAATTGCAGATAAAAAATTACTTAAAAGCAATATCTACAACAATTGAAATTACGTGATTTTTTTTAAGTATAAATACATAGAATACTTAATTTGAATACATTGCGACGATCTAACGTACTAACATCTTTATCTGAACAATTTTAATTTATTATATTTTTCTTAACTAAATCTTATAGCTAAACTACATACTCAAAAAATAATCTAAAATAATTTAAAATAAAACCATTTTTTCTAAATATGAGTACTCTCGTTTTTTCATTAGATATGATTTTATCATTCTGTTATTAAATTCATATTTATTTTGTCACAGCGTAGAATATATGACAGTGAAATAAGATACCGAAGTCTTTACTAACTGCAATTAAAACATTTCTTTTTACAATATTTATTTGTAATATGGTTATAGGTATAGATTATTGTTGATATTATATTACCGTGGCAAAACACTCCATAGATGCATTAATTACTCCACCGAAATTCAGAGTAAACGCCTTAGTTTCTCTTTGTAATAGAAACAGTATCATTCTCTGTATACGTAACGGAGCTCTATACCACTGAACGTTGTACCTATGAAATTACACATAGATAACGAATTGCTAATTGATAAAAGAAACTCTTATTAGTTATTTTCAGCTATGTTAATTTGTTACGCAACTACATTAATTTTTACATCTGCCGAAACAATTCTAAAAAGACACATAGAAAGAACACTCTTGCTATCAATTACAAATGACAACTTAACAACACCAGTTATTGTAATGTTGCTATCACAAATTTTCCCTTTTACAAGTAACAAATTGATGTTGCCATCGATTTGTTACAGAATTCGAATTAACGTGAATCTGCGACAAATATAATGCTGTCTCGATCACCTTGTCCCGAGTTTGTCGAAAGTATTTGCTTCAACAATTATCGACCACATGAAAAAGCTCACTGCATTTGGCTATTTCAGTTTTAGCAAAATCGTTCTTTCCGTGCAAACATTCCTATACTCATCCTGAAATGTTTCTTACGCAGTAGAGAGTACGTAATTATCGTGATCTGTTATATTCTGTCCAATATTGTTAGATAGAAACATATATAAAATAATGACAACCGCATACATCAATGGTAACCAAAATTCGTTGACAGTATTTTGAGATGAAGTAATCTGAAATATCTAAGATACAAATTTAAAGGAGATAATAAATCTATTGCATATGTGTGTGCATATATAACTTAATTTTAACTATTAGTTTAAGAATAATGATAAAGTTATATAAAATTAGAAAAATGCTTTGCAGTATATATTAATCACAAAGAGTAAAAAAGTACATGTTTCTTAGAATATAAAAAAGAAGATCGTACAAAGAATATATAGATCAGCATTTTTGTCCGTTAAGTTCTAAAAGTATTAGTAAATTTATGTTAATGTTATATATCTTCGATCTTATTGAATTTTCTAATACAATGCATCTCCTCTGTTTATTATTTTTATTTTTACTATATATTACATTTGTTACTTTTTATATTATTTATATGATAAAAATTTTTATTGGGAATTTATAACTTTGGCATTACTGGACTATCTACTTACTGAACAATAATGTTAATACTTATAATTTCGGAGCAGTATTTGTATGCATTTTCATATATTACAATACGAAACAGAAAACTTACTTGAAACAAATTTAGGGCTAAGCAAGCTACGCCAAATATTATTAAACAAAACATCACTACCTCGATTATAGACATCAAATGTTTGGTCAGTCTTCAAAAAACAGAAATATATTATTTATATAATTATATAATTATAATAAACGTATTAGTGTAGAGCGAGGCTAGTTATGACTCACTTTAAGTTTTATAAACCTTCACACAATTACGATAGACTAACGGTAAATGCTTTAAAACGGTGCATGTTCATCTGGCTCAGTAATGAAGTACTTTCAAATCCTCAATATATCTCGTAAATATGAGAATTCGTTAATTATAAGGATGCAAAGTGAATCAATATGTCTCACCTATGGGGCATGTTGAGCATCCTCGAAGGATAAGTTGAGCCATGAAGATAACGTTTAATGAGGTTATATATTATGAAAAATATGAAAGGATTATGTGCATATTAATTGAATTTTTATTATTTTCATCTTAAATATAATAATTTGTAATACTCTCTCTTTTTGAAGGCTTTAAAAATAACATAATTAAAAAAACTATAATCTTTACTCTTTATAATAATAATTGAATCGTAAAATATGTATATGTTTAATCATTAACATATAATAAAAAGGATCGATAAAGACAAATTTCACTTAAGCAACTGAGTTATGGAATACTGAGCTCAGCAAGCCACATATCGGTGTTGATGAAACATTTTTTATGACTAAAAAACTGTAGATAAAATAGCAACAGTAAATTTAAAAAATACATTAATTACTAACATCTAAATACACATTTGATTGTTATTAATAGCTTTAATTATTACGTGGACCAAAATGAATATTCATCTAATAACTTTACTTTTTATATACGAAAACGAAAAATCGCACCTGTTTGGCTGTTGATAATCGGACACTGATTATTGTATTAAGCACAATATAATCTCTGTCTATATGCTACCTTACGCAAGCATAGACGTATCTATCTATTTTTGTTATTTACCATGAAAAAATGTGTTATTGAAAATGGACACACCAGAAAATTCTGATTATATCAATCAGAATTTGCTGATTTGTCCATTTTCAACCAAACATTTTTTTCAGTGTAGACATTTGTATTTGCCCAACTTGCCGTTATGTACAACCAGCCCCGCTGTACGTATTTTGTAGTTGTGTACCAACTTCATAGCTCGTCGGTGAATATCAACAGCACAAATTATGCCTTCGCTCATCAGAATCTTAGTTTTCTGCGTAATATTTTGTCGAATATTGATGTTTATTGCATGCTCGATACGATAGCTGTAAATATGTGTTCTAATTATACAACAGTATATTAAATGACTCGATTTTTCAGCAAAATATACATCATTTCATAAACTTTGTCAATTACGCAGTGGAAAGTTGCACTCTCTTGAATCGATTCGTCTCCTCATAGAGTTACTCGATTTTTCACGCAAAGTAATAAGATAATTACCAATTTCAATTGTTAATAACTTTTTAACGAATAACGAACGCCGGCTAAAATCTTCTGAAGGTCTCCCAAGGTCATGACCTTGGCAACATAATTAAGGTCAAGGCTATCCCGGCGGCCTCCTTTGTACTGCATAATTACAAACTTTAATATATTATGTTGTTTAAATATATAATATGTTGTTAAAAGTTAAATTTTAATTATAGTTCAAATTGTTATGGTTATTCACTCTAAATCCTTGAGAGTGAAATTTCACTCCCGAACAGTGATAGTAGATTGGATGTAGGGAGACTAATTTCGCATTTACCTTCAGTCTCTTCTTTCGGAGAGTGAAATTCTTCGCAGAGATTGAAATTTGACTCTCGCTTGGAGTGATTTTTCACTGTCGAAGAATGATTCTTCACTCTGTAAAAGTGAAAATTTCACTTTTCTCGGATGAAATTTCACTTCCAAAAATTTAGAGTGTTCCTACATCTTTATTCGTACCTAGCAATTTTAAACATTCCACAGACATACTGAAGATACGTAAGAAGCATTGTTCCTGTTGCTAATAGCGCAACTACTCCGATGCATATAACTGCGTAGCTGTGCAACAAAATTAAATAAAAGTATTTTTCTTGATCGATAAAATACTCCATCATAATTGGTAGACGAGATATATTTTTTGGTAAAACCATGAGACTATTCGACAAATGCAGGCCGATAATACAAATAAATGCGATAATGCTAAATACTAAAAAATATTAAAAAACGTTTTTATTAAAAATTCTGCAATATAAGCTTATCAAGGTTTATACTATTTAGCACACATACACATATATATATATATAAATTTTATATATATATATTATAAAGTTGTATATTATTTTGTTAATATACTTTCAATTTCTATTTAAAATTATTCTATTATTTATGCAATTTGTGTAATATATTATTGCATAAATTGCATACTAACATATTATTAATCAACGCATATAAATGTCAAATATTTTAGTTGAATCTGTATGTGATACATCGTATATAAAAATATATAAAAATATGAATCACAAGTTACACAAGTTAATTGTAAGCGTAGATCTGAGAATATTTTTTACTTGTAAGTATAATTGTGTGACGTCTTGCAGTGTAATTGTATTCTTCTATGATAGCAACTTCGTTTTTATCTTTTACTTGGTTACATATATGCTCAAGTTGAATTAATAAATTCTTTACCTGTTATTCCAATAATTTCATATATTGTCTCATATAATAATATGTAATAATTTTTTAATATATAATAAAATTTTTTTGACGTGGATAGTTATGTTGTTAAATATTCTGTGAGTTGTCAACTTACAGCTTTGATGTTAAAACAGAATGAGTCGTAATGTATTATACAAAAAATAAAGAAAGATGTGGAAGACAGGACCTTGCTGACGAGATTTAAAGTACATTTTGATGCCATTAGCGGTGTTAACTACTAGTAGTAATTTTATTTTTTAATTATATGCTTATTAACAATTATAAATTTATATAACACTTATTTTACATAATAATAAGATATACTACTTAATAATAAAGATTTGCAAAATGATAACTTATAACACAGTATTGCTATTATACTCTAGTCTTACCTGAAATATAATACCCGCTGTTAAAATAGTAGAAAAGAAAATAAACTGAAATCGTGAGAATTTAGATTGTTGATAGGGCCACAGACCGATAATGAGCAATAAAATTCTATTAATGGTAAAATACTGAATCTGTAGATGAATCATTGAACGCGAGCGTGGCGTAGCAGGCAGCGTACGAGATTGCTATACCAGAGATCCCGGAGTTTGATCCCAGGCAGAACCAAAAAATTGTCGTACGCTTGTAGCTTTTCTCGGCAGACAATGGCAAAACCACCGAAAATATCTTTGCCAAGTACACTTCTCTAAACAAAAATCGTCGTTCGGAATCGACGTTAAACTGTAAGTCCCATATGACTGTGTATGTACAACCAGTGTGCGTACACAGGCATATGAGAGAAGTCACCACGCTTGGTCACGGCAATAGGGGACTGAGGAGAGGAGAGAGAGATGAATCATTCTCTGTAATGTCCGGGATGCGACTATAGTTACGAAACAGTCGACGAGTATGATTATCCCTTCTCCTTTTCCATCGATTGTCTTGATATTCTCTCTTATAGTGTAAATTATAGTGTGCCATAATGTGTGTAATACGAGGCTATACAAAATATCCATTGTGAGAACACAAACTTATTCATATTTTAGTAGTGTTTTTTGCAATAAAAACTATTAGACATTATTCCAACATCAAGAAAATTTCGAACGAATATCTTCTTTTAAAAAAAAAGACATTTATTAAAAGACACAAGACTTAAGCGCATCTCTGTTTTTTGATGCAATAACTTCATTTTCGTAAGAACTTTTACATGATACATGATCTTTTGAGATAAATATTCTCCATATTTTTACTTCGGCATCGATCGTAATTAATACATCTTATGTCAATTTTAAGATATGGTATTTAGACCAATAACGTTTTCCAAATATATTGCTTTATATTTTGTAAAATATTGTTATAATATTACTAACATTATCTATTAAATATTATTATAATGGATTCTACAGTAAAATAATTAAATCTGTTTATATTTGTGCGATATGTACAGTTTTACTCATATGTTTATAGACGTTTTAAACTCGGTTCCATCAATGTACGATTAATTATAATTTCGATTTAAATTACTGTTTCTCTCTCTCTCTCTCTCTCTCTCTCTCTCATACTTCCAATTAGAAAAAAATAAATTGAACCGAGATTTAATCTTATGTTGGTGAATATTTTTAATTCCATATTTTTTTAGTATAATAAAATTTTAAGCAAAATATATACGTAGTAAAAAATAGAATTTTCTTTTTTTTTCAAACGTGAGAAATGTTATCTTCTTCGAATATATGTTTTCTCATGCTCGTATTCGATTTGTATTTGTCTTGTCACTGTGTAGATAATATGACAGTAAAATAAGATACTGAAGCTTTTATCAACTGCAACCATATTATTGCGTTTACTCTTAATATACTACAGCATAATCAAGAAAATACTACATAATCTTACCGTGGTAAAGCATTCTAATGATGGGATAAATAATCCACCGACATTCAGATGAAAATTTTTGGCGCCTTTTATCAACAGGAAGAGTATAATTTTCTGGATGTATAAAGGAGTTATATACCATTTAACTCTGTATCTACATAAATTATTAAGATAAGAATCGATAATTCGAGAAAAAAAGTAAGAAAATTTACGAATAATTTTTATTATTTTACGTTAATCGTACAATACTATTGATATTAAATATTTGTTTCGGTATAAAAATTTATAAAGTGAACCTTTTTAATACTGTTTTTCGTAAGAAAATTCCTTACACAGTAGCGAATACATAATTATTGTGATCCGTCATATTTTGCCCAAGAGCATTCGATATGAACAAATATAGTATAAAAATAGCTACAATTATCATATGCAATAAAGCTTCTTTGGTAGCTTTCTCCGTCAATATAATCTGAAAAATCTGAAATATAAATCTCACTGTAGTTAATTTGTTGCACTTTAATTGTAACTGTTATTTTACGATACGGTTTTGTTTCTTTAAGCAGAAAATCAGGATTGATTTATACATGAAATTGCTATGCAAATTTGATCGATTAATAAGAAGTATCAACTCAAACCATTTTCTCATATAGTATATGTGAAATAAAGTTTCTATTATATGTTATAGATTATCTAATGCTTGATTAAGAATAAAGACAATATAAAATCCGAAACTTACTCGAACCAAGTTGAAACACAACGAAACTACAAACATCTGCGCTAAACAGAAGAACATTATCTCAAAATAGGATAGCAAACCTTTGGATAATCTTCAAAAATAAGTAATTGTTATTGCATATATTTTACATATGTAGAATCATATAGATACTAACTTTATGGCTTGCCGATGGATATCTATAGCGCAAATTAAATCCTCGAATCTTAAAATTTTGTTTTTCATGTTAATATTTTGCTTAACGTTAATATTCACTGCGCGTTCAATACGATAACTATAAATAATATGATTTTTTAACAAAGTATTTCTTTATTGCAAAGTAAACTCCATCTCATTTATTCAACACGGCAATGCAGTTTTATTCACAACTTCAAGTTTTGTGTTTGTTTTGTTTTATACCTAGAGATTTTAAACATTCCACAGATAAATTTAAAATACGCAATAAGCATGGTTCCTGTTGCTACCATTGCAGCCCCTCCTATAACTAGTGCTATGTCCATATGTAATAGAATTAAAAAGTAATATTTTTCTTGATCAGTAAAATATTCTGTTACCAAGTGCAGGCGACTTGATCGAGATATGTTTGTCGATAGACCAACATCAAACATACTCCAAAATTGAACGATAATAATAACAAACGCTGAACAAATGCCAATTACTAAAAAATATTACGAAATAATTAATATTCGTATTTAAAAATATTCGTTACATAATACGTTTAAAATTATTTCAGATATATGTATATATGTGTGTATATATGATACTTTTTAATTATTTTCGGTAAATATTTACAAAAGATCATCACCTTCGAAATCAATGTATCAAAGTCATGTCAAAGTCATGACCCTGAGTAAGTTCCAATAAGTTTTAGTCGTGTCGCTCGTTTTTCGTTAAAAAGTTATTTACAAAGTTTGAAAAATAATGTATCTTTTTTACTATGTAAAACAGAAAATTTTAACTTTTAAATATATTTTTCGACTTTTCACGCGAAGCAAGTTCCACCCCACCTTCCTTCCTGCTTAGGAGCGCGCGACTTTCCAC